GAGTATCATTTTATGTCTTATAGTTCAGTCTAATGTTTGAAGAGTTGGCTTCAGGAATGGTTTTAGTTTTGGGCTAAGAGAGAGTCCGGGGGTTATGTGTTCTCTTCCAGGGTCCCTCCAGTCTCAGTCAGACCATTAAGTCTGGTCTTTTTACTAGAATTTGAGTTCTGCACCCCAGCTTTCTCCTGCTCTGTCAGGGACTCTCTGTTGTGTTCCCTGTCAGGGCTGTCCTTGGTGGTAGACCATCTAGTTCTGGTCTCAGGTGGATGGAGTTTCTGGTTTATGTGGCCCTTTTGTCTCTTTGGCTAGTATTTTCTTTGTGTCTTTGGTGTTCTTCATTCTGCTTTGCTCCAAGTGGGTTGGGACCAACTGATGCATTTTAGATGGCTGCTTGCTATCTTTTAAGATGTGCAGGACATTTTAAATGGAAAATTATAGCAAAGAGAAGAATTAGTTTACCAAGATTTTTGAGCTTACCAGAAGAGGCGCATTGTAATTCTCAATAGTTCTCCCGTGTAATATGGATGGATCATAGTCTGTACAGCCTCAACAAGTATTCACTGACACTCTGTGTTTCCTCTGAAGTGCTGGATCAACTTACTCTTCTAAAATTTTAATATTTACCTTTTATTTTTTTTAATATTGGGGAGGGTGAGACAATAATGAAGAGATTTTGACAAAACTTTTCTATCAGGTTGGTGTAGATGGGGTAACATTAAAGAAGGTATTCTAGAACATATTCTTTAACAATATTTTAAGCATCATCTAATAATCAGATTGATATACCTGGGAAAACAAAATACATTATTAAAGAGTCTATTGCTGTCTTAGATATAAATTTCTACTTGTGTCACAATAATTAACCTATAATATTAATTATATATTTAAATTATGATTTGCTATGAATATTATGCGTGAAAGCAAAAATCTATTCTCTTTGTTAAAAAGTGGTTACAATTCCATCTATGTAAAATATTCATGGTTACCTAGGGCTGAGTGAGTTGAGGGAAGAAGGAGAGTGACTACTAATGGGTACAGGGTTTCTTTTTGGGGTGATGAAAATGTTCTAAGATTGATTGTGGTGATGGCTGCACAATTTTGTGAATATACTAGGAACTATTGAGTTGTACACTTTAAATGGGTGAACTGTATGGTATGTGGATTATATCTCAATAAAGCTGTTAATAAAAAGAAAATATGGTTACAATTTGAAATATATGCAGTTATACTTATTAAAGAATGGGATTTATAATCAGAGGCCTCACGTTTGAATTCTAACCTGGCTACTCACTTTATGCTTTTGGGGAAGTCACCCTGACTTCTCTCAACTGCTTTATCTGTAAAACTGGGATAAGAACCACCACTTCAGAAAGGTAGTTATGACAATTATTGAGAAAATGTATATGGAATTTTAAGCAAAGTATAAAGCTGTACAAATAATACTTTTATTTATGTATCTGTAAATGGGTATGAATTTAATGATTTTTTTTTTTTAGAATACAGGCAGTCCCTGGGTTACCAACGTACATCCCATAGTTACAAACCAATCCCCGTAAAGCCTATTATATTAAAAATTTGAGGTACATACAATGGTTCGTAATAACAAAGGGGCAAGTAGCACCTCGCATCAAAACATTATTATTACTACTGTATTATTATGTTAAAGATGTCTTAGTGTATCTGGAAGTGTTTCTTTAATGTTTTTTATGCATAGAAAGGTATACTATGTACTAAGACAAACATTTGACTCACTGACATTATTCGGACTTATGTACAGATTCGACTTAAAGACAGACTCAGGAACGGAACTCATTCGTAACCTGGGGACTGCCTGTATACATCATAAAAAATTTCTCTCCAAGTCCGGATAACTTTCTTTACTTAGGTATTTTGTAAAATTTGTCTAAAAATGAAAACTTAAAACATGCATATCATATTTTCTGAGTAACTTTTAAGTTTGCTTTCTAAATCAGGTATCCTGGATTTGTCTCTTGACATCTTCTGGTTTTATGTGACCTCTAAATAGTCTCAGAATCTATAAATGCCACTATGAGTGTGTGTATGTGTGTTGTGGTAAAATATACATAAAATTTACTGTTAATGACATCTGGTACATTCACAATTTGGGCAGCCATCACTATCTATTTCCAGAAAATTTTTATCACTACAAAAGGAAACCCTGTACCCATTAAGCAATCACTCCCCGTTCTCCTCCTCCTCAATGCCTGGCAATCATTAACCTGCTTTTTGTCTCTGTGGATTTGCCTATTCTAGATATTTCATATAAACAGAATCATACAATATGTGGCCTTATGTGTCTCGCTTCTTTCACTTAGCATAATATTTTCAAGGCTGATCCATTTTGTAGCATGTATCAGTATGTCATTCCTTTTTATGGCTGGTAATATTCCATTGTATGGATACACCTCATTTTGTTTATCCAGTCATTTGTTGGTGGACACTTGGGTTGTGTCCATCTTTTGTAAACAGTGCTGCCATGCACACTCCTGCACAAATTTTTGTTTGAACACTGGTTTTCAATTCTTTGTACTTGCCGGGGAGTCATATGTAATTCTATGTTTAACATTTTGAGGAACCATCAAACTGTTTTTCACAGCAGCACCACTATTATACATTCCTACCAGCAGTGGGTGAGGGTTCCAATATCTCCACATTCTTGCCAACCCTTGTTATTTTCTGTGTTTTTATTATTATTATTACTAGTCATCCTAGTGGGTGTGAAGTGGTATCTCATTGTGGTTTTGATTTGCATTTCCCTAATGGGAAATGACTAATGGGAGTCCCTGAGTGCATAAAGTAAATGGTTAATACGCTTGGCTGCAAACCAAAAGGTTGGACGTTCGAGTCTTTCCAGAGGTGCCTTGGAAGAAAAGCCTGGCAATCTACTTCCAAAAAATTAGCCATTAAAAACCTTATGGAGCACAGTTGTACTCTGACACCCATGGGGCCGACATGAGTCAGAATCAACTCGATGGGAACTGGTTTTTTAATGACCAGTGATGTTGAGTATCTTTTCATGTGCTTGTTGGCCATTTGTTTTATCTTCTTTGGAGAAATGTCAGTTCAGTTCCTTTGCTCATTTTTTAATTGGGTTAATTCTTTTGCCCATTTTTTAACTGGGTTGTCTTTTTGTTGAGTTGTAAGAGTTTAATATATTCTGGATACCAGATCCTTATGAGATACATGATTTGCAAATACTTTCTCCCATTCTGTGGGTTGTCTTTTCACTTTTTTGATAGCGTGCTTTGATGCACTACAGTTTTTCACAGTGCTTTTTATATATATTATTTCCTTTGATCTTTTTGGTGGAAATTATTCATGATCATTTGGATTCATAAAAAAACCATGAGCCAATGCCTGAAAAGTGCTCAGGACATACTAGGAGAAAGGCTACAAAGAAAAGATTTTATTCCTAAGAATCTAATTCTTAGGATAACAGTTGTAACAAATGCAAAGGACTGATATAATGAATGGAAGAAACTGTATTTTGATTTTTTGCTAAAGTCCTAGTTAACTCTTTTGAAGCTAACATTTACTTAGCACTTTCTATGTGCCAGTCATTGTTCTGTTTTATGTACATTAACTCATTTATTCCTTATAACAACCCTGTGGGGCATGGATATAGTTATTTACATTTTGTAGCTGAAGAAACTGAGGCCTGGAAGTTACATAACTTGCCCAAGGTCATACAGTAAATAAATGCCAAAGCAAAGAATAAACCAGACATTCCAGCTGTAAAGTAGTGTTGTCCCACAGAAATATAATGTGAGCTCATATGTAATTTATATCTTTCTAGCAGTCACATTAGAAAACAGGTGAAATTTATTGTATTAAATCCAATATATCTAAAATACTACCAGTTCAACATGTAATCGATATTAAAATTATTAATGGGATATTTTATATTCTTTTTTTGTGTAAATGAAGTCTTAGAGATCTGGTGTGTATTTTACACTTAAACACATCTCAGTTAAGAGTAGCTATGCTGCACGTGCTACACGTGGCTACAGTACTGCACAGCTCAGCCCTTAATAAAGCCTATGCTCATAGCTATCACTTGACAGTCATTTGCTGGAAGTCATTTGCTATCAGATGGATCTTATTACCTGAAACCCCAAGTCATACAGTTAGTGTTGCTTGGACTCTTTTATTTTGACCCTCCTATGAAATCAATTAATCAGATTTTCCTTGTGGTGGTTCAGTTATTTTAGGCAGGTTTATGGTCTGTTTTCATTGAGATTAATTTTTATAAACAGTACTCTCAGAAGCAAACAACTTTCCATTTTCAAGCACTGAGGCATAAAACAGAGTAACTCTAGAGTGACGGCATCTTTATGAGCAGTACTGTTCACTCACCACTGAATTTCTAAAGATACCAGTTCTCATCTTTAGGGAGCATTTTTATCCTATACATTTTATAAATAAATCACAGTGTAAAAAGGAGTGAGGGCAGAAGTTAATCCAAGCAAACAAATATTCTAGCACGAGTACTCCAGATGGGTGAATGTGCCTATACAGGGGAATCAAACGAAGCTGTAAGAAAGTCTGAAAAGCAAACGGAATGTACCTCAGAGTTTGACTGGTGACCATCAGATGGGATTCTGTCATGCGGAAGATGTTATGAATGGCGCGAGCAGCCAGTACTTGTCTCATTGCTTCATAAATCACTTCAGTAGTGCTGTCTGTTTTAACTGCCATTGATCCCAAAAACCGAACTATAAACATCTGTTGCAAAAGAGAATCTGCAAGAGAGCATTTTCTTAGGATCACACTGACTTCCTGCCTGCTGATCTGCATACCAACGTCAGACGTGTTGGTCCAAGAACAGACTGAAGATGCCAGGTTTTGCTTCCTTTCTATGGAGGACTTTCTACAAAAATTTTTTAATACTGCTTTTATAAACCCCAAACTGCCAAAACTGAATCTTCTATTGACTGTTTACAGTCAATCTGTTTGGAACTACTTCATGAGACTAGGGGAAAAATAAAAACCAAACCCATTGCCATCAAGTGGATTCCAACTCATAGCAACCCCACAGGACAGAGTAGAACTGCCCCATAGCGTTTCCAGGGAACGGCTGGTGGATTCATACTGCCAACCTTTTGGTTAGCAGCTGAGCTCTTAACCACTGTGCCAACAAGGCTTCATAGGCACCTCTTTTTCCTTATCTATAAAATGAGATGGCAGTACCACATGAACATCCTTCCAGCACTAAAACTCTAGGGGACTATACATGATAGTATATGTATCTTACCTCTTCTCTGAAAAGATGAACTTTTCCACTAGACAACAGAAAATTCATTACTTTGGTCCATTCATAAAGTCTTCTTATAGAAAAATACTTACTTGTAGAAAATAAAACCTGATGTTGGGTCTCATTCAGTGTATATACCTTATTATAGAAAGGCAGTGATGATATTTCATAAACTAATAGAAATCTCAAACTAAAATAAATTGCTTATTTGATTCTGATAAACTGCCAGTACTGGCTTCTTGATAACGGCATATAAACCGACAAAACTGTGTAACAGCAACCATAACTGGAAGAATATTCACTTACATCTTGTTATAAATTGTTACGTCCATATTAAGACAGTTTGTGTGTGTGGACTGTTTACAAGTATAATTAATACTGTTGGTCTCCTAATATGTTTGGATGACTTGAAAGTCTGCTAGACACAGGTAGAGCAAGCCAGATTTGAGGCAAGCCTATTAACATCACAAAAAAATTTTTTTTTTGCCCAAAGCTGTAAGGAATGGCAATAGTGCCAATTCTCAAGTCTTACTTTTAAATTTAAATAAGTGGAGCTTTATTCTAATGATGTTCTCAGGCTCCAGTCATGAAGCTGTGGTAAAATGAGATCTTTCCAGCACTTCTAGTTACTAAATTGCCTTGGCTGGGAACTCATATTCTGTACTACTTGAGTAATAGGTTATGGTCAGGAGGTTCTTATGTGCATTATAAGAAAGTAAATCAAAAACAAAATCTGAACTTGAACAACTTAAATGTCATTTATTCATGTCATCTTCAAATTCAAGAATGAGTTGTTTGTGCTCTTGGTTTTCTAAAATGAAATAGCGTATTTCATGGTCCACCAAGACTGCATTTTAATGTGACCATCTTATACTCTTTGAACTGACATGACTCCAGATTTTGATTTGGCAACATTTCTATGCAGGAGCTACAAAACGGATATGAGAATGACTAATGGTAAAAAAGTTATAGAAAATCTTTCAGCTTCCCCTCAGTTTTTATCCAAAACCTGCCCTCACTGAATGTGTCTTAATGAGTTTTCACAGAGAACAATAAATCTATAGGTCATAATTTCAATTCATGTTCCAAATCATGACTCTAAAACATGATTTTACATCTTATTTCAGTGGCCCTTGTCATTCTGTACAGAGGAAAGAATAAGACCACCAAAATAGCCCCCGTACCTTCTGCTTCTGGAAAAGTTTCATCCTCAGTTTCACCAAAAGGGTTGATCCGCCTAAGGGAACAGCCAAACAATCATGATAGCTTCAATTAAAATGACACATAATATTTTAAGTCAGAACAGTAGCAGTCTTTAAGAAAATAAACTTGGTTTTATTTTCAAGAGATATCAGGTTTATTTTCATCTGTCCCAGAGATAACCTCCCTTAGCCCATACCTGCTCCCTCTGTTCTGATCAAGGAATTCTGTAGCAGGAAGTACAATATCAAACTGAATAGGTGTTCCAGGTGCAATCAGTTGTTCAGCTTCAGGTATACTGGCTGTTGCTCTGGGCACAATCTTATCATTTTCCATCTCTGAAATTTTCAGGTTCTGACTAGAGTATAAAATAAGAGAAAAACAAATTCCTCTTAACCTTATGCCTTACAATGAATGTTGTATATTTTATATTTTGAATGTTGATGTGACTTTTACAAATAGAAATATAAGGGAGATGATTTCAATCAATCCCTCAATTTATCCTATAAATGAATCTTCCAAAACTTCATGTGTGTCCTTGGTAAAACCTTCAGATCTCCCTGCTGCCCACAGTTCTCTGCTGCCTAGCATTCTGCACTGTGCCACAGTACTTATTACATTCTGCCGTGATTTTCTGTTTGTAACTTCTCCCTGTGAGACAGGTTTTTTGAGGGCAGGAGCTATAGCTGTCATATTTATTACCTGGCACATATTATTTGCTTAGAGTTAAATGACAGTTTGTTCCCAAAAGCACAGTTTCTTTGCTGCTTTCCCTCACTGTCATCCAAACATTTCTTTATTCTTAATGAGTTGACCCCAAGAAAGATAAACTCCTTACACACACACACACAGAGCTCTGGGGCCATATGGCAGCCGTATCTGTCACCCTTCCAATCTCTAGGGTGAATTCGGCAGGCTGCCTAATTTTTTTTTCAGATATTCTCCTGTGTCCTTTCTGTGGCCCAGAAACTTGAGTGAATGACATAAGGACACAAAGCTGTGTTCAAGGCAGAGCTCTCACTAGGTCTCCAACTCCAAGTCCAGCATGCTCTCCACCTTGCCCATCTAATATTCCTGTTGCTTTATACACTCCTCACAGAAGCCTAGCTTAATCTGATAGCTTAACGCCTGCCCTCTAGTCTTTATTTCTGTTTGTATGGTGCTTTCCTAAAAGTTGCACTTAAATAATCATGCTACTTGTGTAAACTGTTAAATCTTTAAATTTATCACTGAAATGTTTCTCAGACTTGTTACTTCCTTCCCGCTATTGCCTTTGTTTGGGTTCTCATGTTCTGTCTACTCAGCGGCTACTAAAACATCCCAGTGGTCTTTCTGCTGGTCCCTTCTCTGCCCCCGGGGCCTCCAATCTTTCCTGTCTAGTGCTACAATCTTTCTAAACCCAGCTCTCAGTATGTGACCCCTTTTCTAAACTTTCAATTCTGCTCCACTGCCTATAACTCCAAGCAGGGCACCCAAGTCTTTCTTTCGCAGTCGGGCTCAAACCTGTTTTCTGGCCTTATCTTCACCTGTTCCTTCTCATGTGACCCAATGCTGGCGTGTGAACACTGGCTCCACGCTGATGACACTGAGACCCCGGAAGTTACCTAACTACCTCTGGAGACATTAGATGGTATTTGTAAAATATTTAATGGGGTTCTTTCTACCATTCCACTTGCAGATGAATGCCGAATGTAGTCATAATTTTAATGTACTCTTTGATGCCATGCTTTTCATTAACATGACAATATGGCCCTCTACTATTTAACCAAATGGAACATGCTGACAAGACAAAAGGTGGGATACCTGGAATATATCCTAAAGCACTATTCAAAACAAGATAAAAGATGCGTGCATAAAAATGTTCACTAGAGTACAGATGATAACAGCAAACAAACCAAGGGGAGACAACCCAAATATTCAATACAGTAATAAAAATAAATGGTGGAATAGTGTATAGTTTATTAAAAGGAAAAATTATGAAAAATGTAGAAATATTAAAAAATATGTGGACATTTAATAAATGCACATATGAAAACATTAACATGGACACCTAAAAGGTGATTTTGTCCCTAGCATAACTGTGTGATGCTGATACAGTGGGGAGAACTGACTAGCAGGCCCCTCACTTGGACTGCGGCAGCATGATCCAGTGGAAAGGCCGTGGACACTGAAGTCCACAGGTTTGAGTCCTGGCTCTGCCACTCATCTGCCATGTGAACATGGGCAAGATACTTAACCTTTCCTGGCCACAGTTAGTTTTCTATAAAAGGACTAAACAGCACCCCTGGGGTAGTTTGTGAGGATTAAATAACAATTCATGTCAAATTCCTACAGTCAGGGCTGCACAAAAGCTAGTTTTCCTTTGTTCTTTAGTTACCTGGGGCTCGAGTTTTCTTGTTTTTTCCCAAAACTTGTGATGGGAGTCACTGCTTCCAGCGCCGTCTGATTCAACTTGATGGCGACCGCCTAAAAAGCCACAGGAAGGGCACACTCAGTCCCAGGAGGTGGACACTTACTTTCAGACTCAGAAAAGGGCTCAGATGCAGGCAGCTGCTAATTACCTCTGGGTTGTCAGTCAGGTAGATCTGTCTGGAGATGTTGTTTATTGCACATATCCACTGTGGAGAACATTAAAAATACACTGAATCCCAAAGTCACCCACTGTACTAGGAAAGAAGTGAAACAAACAAAACCTTTACCTCGTCATTTTCCTTTCTGCTCTCTGCCTGAAGAATTATTCCCCTGAAATAAAATGCATCTAAATAAGTGCTTTCAGATCTCAGTGACTGAGGCCTATTCTACATAAAGGCACTCATCTGGGTGCTGACGGGAAAGGGCCAAGAAGGCAGCATGATGAGAAGGAAAGAAAATGGGTTCATAGTCTGGCTGCGCCACTAATTCACTATGTAAACTTGGACAAACACTTCGTTTCACTGGGCCTCAGCTTTCTCATCTATAAACTGAGAGGGCTGGACTCTGAGATCTTTTAGCCCAAGTCAGATTCTACAGCGAGGACCATCCTTGCTGACCCTGCTGAGATTATCCAAGGCGACCAGGACCCCTGCCCAGTGGCTCCTCCCAACCATGCCCAAAGAAGGACTAGCAGCTGCTCCACTCTCTTCTAAGAACTGAAAAACCTGCATGTGGAAGGCCAAGGAATATGATAAAAATAATTTTACTCTGCCTTTGTGAAAGCCTTAACGCTAGAAAGGATTCCACATCTGCTAGTTCTTCCGCTCCTCATATCATCTATGGGAGGAAGGAAACGTAGATCTTATCCCTATTTTGTATCTGAGGAAACTGAGGCTCAGGAGAGTGAAGTAACTGCATGGGACCATGACTAGAATCCAAGCATCTTCAATCCTAGGTCATTTCCCATCACCACGGGAGGAAGTGTGATGTCTGAAACTGCTCTGCCAACCTGGGAGAAGAGACATTCAACACAATCCCAACAACACTCCCAACCTCCCACCCCAAACACTCTACTGTTCAAATAAAGTCTTACTTCGAACCCCAACACAGACAGCAAACACAAGTAGAGCAGCTCTAAGGGTAGGACTGGGCCACTCCTCTCCCTCGGACAAACCCTGAAGCATCCATGGGACTCTGAACTCCTTGGAGTACGTGAAAGCCACTCCTCCCAGTGACGGGAGCCCACTGGGATGGGATCCACTGTGAATGACTACAGGGCTGCCATTTTTAAAAGTATGACCTCTTCTGGGCCCAGGGTACAAAGGGGTGTGTGGGAACAGCATGTTAATAAATGATACTGCTGCAGCTAGGTTCTGTCATCTTCTGCTTCAGCTGGAAAGACTGACCCTTCAGGAAGGCCTTCTTTACCCACACTCCTCTTCCCTGCCCCACTGTGTTATGCACATAAACCTTGTTTAGGGACAGGCTAGAAGTGGCCACAGTCTTCTCTGAGAGTCTATGCTGACAAACAACTATTTCTATCACTGTCTTACACAGGGCTAAGTTATCTCTTCTCCAAAGCCACAAACCCTCATGGAGGCTCCTTAAATAAGGCAGGTTGGATCCCGTATGGGCCATTTGTGCTCACTTACAGAGAACATAAAACCATGCTCCTGAAAGGTCAATAATACCCAGAATGGGGCCTCTCCCATGCAGGGCTGGCATCTAGGAATGAGCTAGAAGCCCTTGGCAGGGGTGGAGTCACTAGTTCTCCCAAATAAAACTCGTGAGGCATACGATTTTCCATTTGGAGTGGTGATCTGGAAGCAGTATCGTCGGTCTTCACAATCCACTGCCATCACTGAGCAGTTGTCCAGATCCTGGATCAGACCTCCAGCCACGGCTCCCCTGGGCTGACACATGAGATTTCCGCCTTGGGTGAAGAAGTATAGTCGCTCCCAGGTGGTGGAGACCAGCCCTGTTTTACTGAAGGAATTGTTTTGAAAGAGCCCGTTAGTACTAGTCCTGCTGCCTCTTTATGGGTATTGGTGACATTTAAAAAGTATGTTTCTATTAAAAGGCAACTGCTTTGAAAATAATTCAAGTGAAACGAGTAGCAGAAGAGGTAGGATTTAGAACACAGTTTATAAAGACAATGTTCTACATTCTACCTTGGTGAGTAGCATCTGGGGTCTTAAAAGCCTGTGAGCAGCCATCTAAGATACTCCACTGGTCTCATCCCTTCGGGAGCAAGGGAGAATGATGAGAACAGGATACAAGGAAAAGATTAGTCCAAAGGACTAATTGTCCACAGCTACCAAGGCCTCCACCGGACTGAGTCCAGTACAGCTAGATGGTGCCTGGCTACCACCACTGACTGCTCTGACCAGGATCACAACAGAGGGTTCTGGACAGAGCTAGAGAAGGATGTAGAACAAAATTCTAACCCATGAAAAAAAGACCAGATTTACTGGCCTAAAGGAGACTGGAAAAACCCTGAGAGTATGGCCCCTGGACACCCTTTTAGCTCAGTGATGAAGTCATCTCTGAGGTTCACCATTCTGCCTGGGAGTGGACAGCCCCATAAAACCAAATGGGACTAATGAGGTACAGTAGTCCAGGGACAAGGGCCAGAAGGCAGAAGGGGACAGGGAAGCTGGTGATAGGGAACCCAAAGTTGAGTAAGGATAGTGTTGATGTATTGTGAGATTGTTAACCATTGTCATAGGGCAACGTGTACTACTGTTAAATGAGAAACCATTTTGTTCTGTAAGCCTTCATCTAAAGTGAGAATAACAGCACAATTGGAAGAGCATAGACCATGTCACTGAACTGCACATGTAGAAATTTTTGAAATGGTGTATCTTTGGCTATGTTATTCCCCCCCCCCCCCCCCCAAAAAAAAAAAAAAAAAAGGTCGAGAAGGGAGAGGGTTACATGTTGTGGGGTTGTTAACCAATGTCATAAAACAATATGTGTACTACTGTTTCATGAGAAACTATTTGTTCTGTAAGCCTTCACCTGAAGTACAATTAAAAAAAAAAAAAAAAAAAGTACGATTTAGCTTGAATCATCTGGGAGATTATGGGCTCTGCTCATGTGGGAAACACCAGTGCCAGGGACAACTATGTGTAAGGCACTGGGTTTCCTGCTTCAATAACTACAATAATTAAAAAATATGGTAATAGCTCATATTTGAGTGTTTACTACCTGCTAGAAAAAGTCCTCCAAAGGCCACCTGACCCAGAGTGGCCCAGAGTACCTTGTAACAACTTCTATGAAGTAGGTGCAATTATTAGCTCCATTGCACAGATGAAGAAATCAAGGCTTAGCCCAGCCAGGGTGTCTGACACCAAAGTCACTGCTCTTCAGCCCCACACCATGACAACATTCTCTCTGCTCTAAAAGAAATTAAACCCGATCATCCTTTCAATTCAAAATGGACATTCAAAGACATTGAGTGTTAAGTATGTGGTTCAACTGATATGAATCTAAATGCATCTAAAAGCTTTCTGGCCCTTAGACTCCTGCCAGTGGTGGGTCTCCAGTGCACTGCTCTCACCTGTGGCATGGCAGAAGGAGAGGGGCTGGAGATTAACTCTCAATAGTCCAGAAGAACAACAGCTAAGTGTGGTCTATTTACAAATGGCCACGGTGACAAAGGATGGGTGGCCTGCAGTGTCTGCAGTCCATAGCACTGGGTACTCAGTCATCCAACTCTCATGACCCATGTCATCACAAAGTTTGGCTCCCTGGCCCCAGAGGCTCCCTGTGTTCAGGCAGGATGGTGCTGCGCTGGGAGTTCATCCCCATCTCCACTACCCCACCCTTGGGCTTTAATGAGGCACAAAGAGGTTGCTTTTCAGCCACTGCTAGGGAAAACGGACTTCAGAAAAAGAGGTAGGCAATGCCATTCTCACTTTCTAAGATTGAGGTAACCAGCCTTCTGGATGAGGTTCCTGTTGATCTGTGGTGCAGCTACATCGAAGTCTGGAGTGTAAACAGATTCATCGACAGAAAGTAATTCTTGCTGGGACACCCGCATCTTTTCTGCTTCAGCTTCCATTTCCACCTGAATGCTTAAGAAAGAAGGTGTCAGGTCAGTCACTGGCAAACCCAGCACTGCTGAGAAGCAGAAGGCAAATCCATCACCCCACTCCCCATCCCGCAAGGCAGAGCAGCTCTGGGAGATGGATGGGGTCCAAAGGGAGCCGCAGCCTCCTACATGGCTACGGCCCCCTGCCCTCTAACGTAGACCCCGAAAGCTGTAAAGTCACAGGGACTCAAGTCTGCATTACTGAAAGCATTTATGTGACTGCTGTTTAAAAACAGAACACAGGGAATACCACTGGATTATGCCAGAACCCAGCTACACAACTTCTCTGCTGACAAAGGGTTATCCATGCTCAGAACTGCTAGTGCAGATTTTGGGCAAAAAACTTTCGACGAGCCTACCCTCAGAGGTCACTTGTGTGGGCAGCCAGTAAAACTGTCAAAAAGGAAAGAGTGAAGCAGCAGTCAGTACTGCCCACCTCTTGGTTTAGGCAGAGTGGTGGAGACGGCCACTGGAGATAGGAAAGACCAGGAAGTGGTACAAACGTGCAACAAAGCTGAGGGCAATGCTTCTCCTTTAACAGGAGCCATAAAATCGCCCGAGACTGCACAGGCCAGCTGGTCCCGGGTGGCCTGGAGTACCAGATGAAGGAGAAGTGGGTTGGTGGCCAGGCTCTGGAACATAAGCCCCTGGCTTTTGTGTGCTGAGGTGTGCAAAACCTGGAAGCTTCAGCTTGAAACAAGCAGCTGCCCTTTTCCCCACAAAGTGAGGCCTTCACAGACTACCCCACCCAGTGGTGACAGTCTGGGTTGTAAAGTCCTAAACACAATCTGCCCAAAGTGGCCCATCCCTCTGAGAAAGCAAACTTTAGAGAAGTTGTTCTACTACTTCACGGTGTTCAAGGAGGTAAGGCAGAATCACAAATGTAAGTCAGAAGGAACCTTGGGGACCAGCTAGTCCAGCATTTCTCAAAGTGAGTCCACTGGCATTTTGTCTCAAAAAGGTTCTGTAGTTAAGTGAGTTTGGGCTTGTGTATGTCTATATTCTCCTCTTGGAGATTCACAATGTAATTGCCTGTATCGTTTAATCCAGCTCTATGTGAACAGCCACAGTTAATTTTGGCTTTTCTGACACTGGGTAGGTGACTGGGGACTCTACCATCGGTGGCCTTAGGAAAGGCATGCCGCAGAACAAACCTGAGTAGCTTAACCTGCCTGCCATTGCCAAGGTCGGGAGGATGGAAGTAGGAGGTGGAAGAAGGGAGCCAAAAGTAGACAAAACCACTTAGGTTCTTAACCTTTTGTGGGTGACAAACCTGAGGATCTGATGAAAGATAAGGATTGTCTCCCCCACAAAAATGCATGAGTACCAAATGACATTTTGAGTACAATTTATAATCTAAGAGAGTTTATAGTAACTGTCCCTCCCCATCCCCTACTCCATAGAGATCCCAAGTTCAAAAACTCTGAGCAGCTAATCTGAGGCTCCCAGAAACTAAAGAAACAGGGCTGAAAAGTGACTGCTTTCAATGTTTTCTTATTAATGGATGGCGGCACATTTGTGCCCATGTTTTTGAGATGCCATCATGTACACTTTCTGCAGGTCCTCGAGCCTCGAAGATTTTTTAAAAGCATGGTTCATTTAATTAAAAACAAAAACAAAACAGGAGCAGAGGACTCTGAGACAAAAGGTAGGAATGTATCCCTGTGGAGTTAGGGACTAACAGTAACCCCCCGGGCTCTGTGGAGTAGCCTGAAACAGAGCCACCCTATCTGGACTGTGGCTGGTTCTGGATTCTCTCACATGTGGTGAGTACAGCAGAGCACCTGGAACATCCATCTCACAGGGGGAAGGACCTCAAAGCTTTGGTGCCACCACTAAATCCTGTCCTGAGGCTATCCTGGGCTGGCTGGCTGAGAAAGCATGGCAGTGTAGCAGCAAAGCCAGCTCCCAGTGTGAAGAGTGGCGGTATTTATCTGCTAACCAATATAAACTTTACATAGGAAAATCAGAACTCCTACACTGAATCAAGGTTCATTTTGGGCACCTTGACTGCTCTCTGTTGCCCCTGTAACTAAATGAGCCTTGTCAGGTAGCAGAGGGATGACTCAGGAACTAAACCCAGTCCACGTGGAACAGGCTGTGTGGCCACTCTGACTTTAACGCCCGGTCAAAGTCCTGTCAGGATGGCTGTTCGGCACTTTGGCTGACCGAATGATGGCTCATGGAAATGCTGACAAGGACAGAAGACAGACGCTCGGGGATCTGCAGAAGTGCACGTGATGGCATTTCAAAAAGATGCACACGAATGTCTTGCTGTCCATTACTAAAACACATCTAGTATGTGAGAAGAATCTGAAGCAGGGATGGTTCTCTCAAAACATGGAAAGCCATGCTATTCTGAGAATTAAAGCAGGATGAGAAAGAGACAAGGAGTGAAAGATAAGTGAGAGGGGGTACCGTTAGGAAGTGACAATTTAATAGGCTCTCTTATTTTACTTTCTCCCTGAAGCAAAATTGTTGAGAGGCTAAACAATCAAATTCAAAGGCAGGAAAATGAAATTATATTCATAAACAGTTTGTATAACTGTAAGTCTAACCTGCATCACTCACTAGTGCCAGCCAGCAGAAAAAAAACAGCTCAGTGACTTCCAGAAAGGATGATGTGCTTTCATAAACTACCACTCTCCCCTCGTGCGGGTGTGAATGTTCAGCCCTGGCTTTTCCTGGGATTCATTCTTTCAGAAAATTTCAGGCAGACATCTGCCTACATAAATCTCACTGCTTGGCCTTAGAAAGTATTTTAAAATGCACCATACCCAAGAAAATCAGCAAGTTTCTCTTCATTTTTCTGCATGAAATACAATTCTAAACTAGTATTTCCATTTTATATATTTATTAAGTACATATACAAAGAAACTTATTTCTCTACTCCAGAAATACAAAAAACGCTCAAGGAACATGTCTGAGCTCTTAATGAAATAAGCTCGATGCTGAGGTGCCTGTGACTCTCCTGGCTCTCTCGTCGGAGCCGATGATGGAAGGTGGCAGGGGTGGGGAGTGAGGGTCACAGAAGCCACAGCTCAATTCAGTGTGGGCAGGACAGGAGAGTGATGTTGTATTTTTTAGAATAAGCATTTGCAAGGCTGAACCACAGTTTGTGAAATTAAATCAAAAAAGGTTTAAAACTTTGCTTATCTGTTACAAATTAATGTGATGACTAGATTCCTGGATAGTTGTAGCACTTCTGGCTGCTAGCCCCATTAGCTCTCAAAGGGAAGAGCAAACGGCTCTTTTAAATTCACTGCCAATCAAATCTGGATTCACATGCTTGTAACACATGAAACTTTCTTTTTTTAAAAATGTTTTCCCATACAAAAATTTATACATACACTGTTATGTGACTCTAATTGCTCTCCCCACACTGTGACAGCACACTCCTCCTTTCCACACGATTCCCCATGTCCATTCAACCAGCTCCTAACCCTCTCTGCCTTCCCATCTCACCTCTGGACAGAAGCTGCCCGTTTAGTCTCTTGTATCTACTTGAGCTGAGAGGCACACTCCTCACGAGTGTCAACTTAAGTGCCACAGTCCAGTCCAATCCCTGTCTGAAGAGTTGGCCTCAGAAACTGTTTTACTTCTGGGCTGATAGAGAATCCAGGGACCATGCTTCCGGGGTTCCTCCAGTCTTAGTCAGACCCTTAAGTCTGGTCTTTTTACTAGAATTTGAGTTCTGTACCCCACCTTTCTCCTGCTCTGTCAGGGATTCTCTGTTCTGTTTCCTATCAGGGCGGTCACTGGTGGTAGCCGGGCACCATCCAGTTCTTCTGGTCTCAGGCTGATGAAGTCTCTTGGGCTAATACTTTCCCTGTGTCTTTGGTGTTCTTCATTCCCCTTTACTCCAGGTGGTTGGGACCATTTGATGCATCTTAGATGGCCGCCTGCAAGCTTTTAAGACCCTAGATGCCACTCACCAAGGCAGGATGCAGAACATTTTCTTAATAAGCTTTGTTACGCCAGTTGACATAGATATCTCCTGAAAGCATGGTCCCCAGACCCCTACACCTGCTACTCTGTCTCTCAAAGTGTTTGATTATATTCAGGAAACTTCTTAGCTTTGGTTTAGTCCAGTTGTGCTGACTTCCCCTGTAGTGTGTGCTGTCCTTCCCTTCACCTGAGATAATTCTTATCTACTATCTAGTCAGTAAATAACCCTCACCCTCCCTCCCCACCCTCGTAACCATCAAAGAATGTTTTCTTCTGTGATGAAACTTGAATATTAACAAAAGGAGACCCTAAGGACAGGGATGTGGATGCAGGGAAGTGCCCCTGCTGAGGTGTTACTCTGTTACTTAGCCTGTAATGTATGGACAGGACTGTGGGCTCCATACAGGCCAGGAACTGCAGAAATCATCACTTTTATACAGTGATCACCAGTATTCAAAAATGTCGGCAGCTGAGGGGAGGGTGCTGCTCCCTGGTGGTCAACGGAATGGACAGGAGCTCTGTGCAACCCTCTGCAGTCAGCAGCCCTCCCCAGCTCCCAGAGAGAGTGATGCAGCAGGAGGCAAAATGCACCCAAGATCCACGTCAGAGTGCAGCATTACCTCTGAACCATGTCTGCAGCGGAGGATAATAAGCTGTCTGTGCTTTTGGAAAACATCTCTGCTCCCTTCTTAAAAAAGTTAATCTGAAAGATACAATTAGGATATTCTGAAAATCATAGAAAGGTGATCAATGAATTCATTCAATATGAGACTGACAGCTAGGGGTGGCCGACACTGGCCGATGGGCCCCTCCTCACCTACAGCTCACCCTCACCCTCCTCACCTCCATCTCCACCATAGCCTCCACTACACTGAGTGACGTGACAGTTACTCCCAATGTCCCGACTGCAACTATAAGATGCTTGTGTAAAATGGGGCTAGTGATAGTGATACCCAGTTCTCTTGTTGAAAGGCTGTAAGTATCAGGAATGACATATAAGTTCTTGGTGCATACTAGGTGGCTCAATCATTACTGCTGATATGTAAGTATTTTTGTTATTATCAGCTTTTTACCTGTGTGAATTTTACACAGTATAGTAAGTTTTCTTGAGGGCAAAGATAAGGTCTTATTCACCTTTGTATCTCCAGGTGCTAAATGAGTGTGTGACAAATGATGGATTTATGCACAGCACCAGCAAGAAACTGACAAGCCCTAGATGTAGTGCAGCATGAGGCTTTCAAAGAAACAACCCTACCCTGAAGACTTACCATCCAACTGACCTCACTCACCTAGCCACACGGGGCTCAGAACACAGGCTAAATGGATGGTGACTTAGCTGAGATACTGCACAGGGAAAACTGGGCTAGTGAGAGACCCTTAAAGGCCTTTTCCAACCCTGACATCAAATTACAGGGGATTATGTACGTAAAGGAGCCCTGGTGGCACAGTGGTTAAGAGCGCCACTGCTAACCAAAAGGTCGGCAGTTCGAATCCACCAGCTGCTCCTTAGAAACGCTACAGGGCAGTTCTACTCTGTCCCGTAAGGTTGCTATGAGTCAGAATCAACTCAATGGCAAGGGATTTGGTTTTTTGTTGTTTTGATGTATATAAAAAGAAGCCATGGTCGCACAGTGGTTAAAGCTCTTGGCTACTAACCAAAAGGTGGGTGGTTCAAACCCACCAGCCATCCTGCGGGAGAAAGATGTGGCAGTCTGCTTCTGTAAAGATGTACAGCCTTGGAAACCCTATGGGGCAGTTCTACTCTGTGCTATAGGGTTGGTATGAGTCGGAATCAACTTGATGGCAATGGGTGTGTACATAAAGGATGTGGCATGGCCCAAGCACTATGGAGGATCTTGACACAGGGGAGCCCTCCTTTTCTCCAACATTCTGTGATGATTTCTCTGCCCAGGGAAGCATGGCCTCTAGGAGACCTGAGGCCTATACAGTTTGAAAATGAAACTGCAGTTACAGGTTTTTAGGTACAAATAGAAGGAATTCTTTACTTCCTGTGATTCCTGTGTATTCCGTTCCCAGAAAGTTTGGGTCCTCTGACAAACCATTAAGGGCAGGGGTATGGGAAAGAGAGGAAGAAAGACATTTCTGTGCATTGCCGACATCCGCAATCATTCCACCCTGAAAAGCTCAAGTTTCCATTTCTTCTTATGGCCATGGCTTTAAAAAAATCAGAATACTGGGTATGAACTGCTCCATTTTATAACCTGAGTGTTGAGAGGTAACAGTTGCAAGCCCAAGTCATGAAAAGAGCGAGAAAACGTTGAGCCTGGATGTGGGGATTCTCTTACGTGTTACCCCAGCTCATCCCTCTAATGGGGAAGTAGGCCTTGCCCTGGGTTGTGGGTACAGAAATCTACCTTTTGCTCCAAGGAGGCTAGTACAGTTGTGATATCCTTGTATCTGTTCTCCAGACACCCTGGGGAAGGATGTGCACCAATGTCCTTCGTTTTCACAGTATAAAAACAGATGGTGACTATGATTCTCCTAATACAAGAAGTCCCTGGGTGGTGCAAACGGTTAACGCACTCAGCTGTTAACTGAAAGGTTGGAAGAGAATCTGGTGATCTACTTCCTGAGGAGCACAGTTCTATTTTGACACACATGGGGTAGCCATGAGTTGGAGTCGACTCAATGGCAACTGGTTTTTTACTGCAAGGTAATACGTGCAGGGAGATGTTCCAGCCCCATGATCTTGGAATCATACATAAATCATAAATACCAGTCTGTTAAATGGGCATTTTGCATTCTAAAGGCACAACATCATGGTGGCTTCTACTCTCCCCTCCCCTCCCTGAACTCCTTTGGAATTTACACTCTAAATCCATGCCTACTGTTCTGTAAGCTCCTAGGGCAGGGGTTCACGTAACCCCTGAAAGAACATCTGATGAATGAATGAATGGAAGAGAAGGATACGATATTGGCTTCTACAGCCACATTCCACAGTACTTATCCTGATTATACAACACGAGACTCATTTTTGTGTTCTCATAAACCTGAACACAGATTATGACACCTTCAGTTTGTTTGCAGGCAGGAGGACTGAATCATGATTTAACTGAAAACCTGTTTAACAAGGGTCAGAATAGGCAGAAACAGAGTCAATACACCTCCACAAAAGTGAGTGGTACTGAGAAGCCTGATTCACTGGAATTTCATTCAAAGACCCAGTGTGCCTCAATGAACACTAGGAAGTACAACGGTCATATAACTATCAGGTAACAATATTGAAAGGGCAATAAACGACTGATTTAAAAGGCCTGACTGGATTGAAGGAGAGCGAATTCTTCTGAATCAGATATCTAAGATTCATGGTGTTGAACAACAAACTTGTCTAACAGAAAGAACTATAGTTTTCATTAGGATTAAGAAATCTGTAGGGTAAGGGACTATTTGGTTTTGTGTCTTGAAAACTGGATGTTTTTCATGTGAAAAATAGAATAGGCCTTTCTCAGTCCTTGAAAATGGTGCTGACACCCAGCAATGACAGTGTGCTCTGTTCTAGTTTCCTAGGCACAGGCGCTGTTTATGCTCCTGAACCCAGAGTCTCCCCTCTCCCCGGTGGTCAGCAACAGTCACTTGAGAAGTCCAGGCTGGGAAAAGGGGTGTCTTCCTTGCCTGTGGAATACAGTGAAACCAGCTAGTATCAAGCCATGCTGGTGCCATCCTTATGGCCCTGTGAGGACCCTCGTCTAACCAACCAAGCTCCCCAAGCCCATCAGGCCTGGAGCAGTTCATCTTTCTCTGACATTAAGTCAGGACCCTGCCTCTGCCTGTGATCTAGAACTGACCTCCCTGGCACTGGGCCCTTTACCTGAGCAGGGATTACATGCTCCAAAGACAAAACCAAAACCAAGCCTGTTGCCATCCAGTCGATTCTGATTCACAGCAACCTCACAGGACAGACTAGAACTGCCCCGTAGGATTTCCAAGGCTGTACTCTTTACAGAAGCAGACTGCTACATCTTTCTCCCTCACAGTGGCTGGTGGGTTTGAACCACTGATCTTTCGGTTAGCAGCCAAGCGCTTAACCACTGCGCCACCATGGCTTGCTCTAAAGACAAGGACTGTCAATCGTGGGAGAAGAGAAATGGCAGAGAGTACTGAAGAGAACAAAGGGAACACTGGTATTCTCTGATGAAGTGCGAACACTTAACAAAGCTTAACAGAAGAGAAAGTGAGTGCAACAGAGTGAGTGAGGGCACACCTGTGGGCACTAATGCCCAGTGGGAGGAAACAGGAAGGCTCCCAAGGATTGGCTCAGGACTGAAGCTCACAGCTGGACAGTGCTCGTTTGTGGTTTTCCTTGCTTTAACCCAGCTCCACTTAGGTGACACAGAAAAATGATATTGTTCTACTTAAATTTTCTGTCTGAAGGCGTAAGTTAACTTCAGTATCCTCACTATTCAACAGTGTAACAAACATTAAGAAAGCAGACAATTGAGCTTTGGTTCTAAAAGCTCCTGTCTTGTCTCTCTTTTCCCTGAATGAAACTGATGTGTTTTTTGAAACATACGTATTTTACAAAATGTACTATAAAAGTGGAGCCCCTGGTGGCGCAGTGGTTAAGAGCTTGGCTGCTAACCAAAAGGTCCGCAGTTTGAATCTACCAGCCGCTCCTTGGAAACCCTATAGGGCAGTTCTATTCTGTCCTATCAGGTTGCTGTAAGTTGGAATGGACTCGACAGCAACGGGTTTGGTGTTCTGGTATTATAAAAGTAACAGATGTTCTCATGTGGAGGCTTTTTCAAGGCGGATGATTTTTTTCTTATCAGCATTTTGCTTCCTCACATCCCTTTGTGTTCCTAGATCAACTGAAAGAAGATGCCCAGTGCATTTTTCATATGCAAAAGTGAAGTTCTGGAGTAAGTGTAAGTGGAGCCAATGCAGGGCAGGCAGGGATGGAGGGTGATGAGGTAGTGCCATTAGCCTCACAGTCATATGCATTTTTCTGCCCGCCATGCTGCTAAGCCCCCATTCTTAAACTGAGGCCTCCCTTAAGATAAATATCCAGCAGACCGCCTAATAGGGGGAAAGAAGCCAAATAAATACTCTGAGAACTGAGAAGCCATCAAGAAGCAGTGGCCACATTTCCCCACACTCCAGATATAAAGGTGCTAGAAATTACTTCAACAAAGTAACATCTGAAAAGAACTCAGCTGAGGTTGGTTCTTACAATGGAGAGTGGCAGAGGCATGTACAAAATCCAAGGTATGAGCCTCGCTGCAGCAACCTGAACAGTAAGCTTCTTCTAAGAAAACTGGGCCAGGCCTGCCTTTCATTTGGATCAAAGACAAAGGGCCGTGCAGGCTCCTCCCTCAGGGAGGCTTGGGATCAAGGCCATCACTTCCTGAACGTACAGCCTAATGAGCCCAGCTAAAGATGATCCAGCTCAACTGGCAGCTCTCCTAGTCTTGAACCTCAGAATGTTCCCAGGGAGGGGGTGCACGTGTGCTGCTTCTGATGATGGTGCTTCAGTTTCTCCTAAGTGATACCTCAGCAGAACATCTGGCTCAGCCCTTATCTCTACCTGTCCGTGGGCAAAGCCCAGCATGGGCTCCATCATGGCCACCCGCTTTCGGTACTGCAGCGCGTTGAGGGCACAGTAGTACTGAAGTGATGAGAGGTGCTGCTTCCGCCGCGCACCTGCTACCTCTTTCACAACCTCAGCCTTCACCTAGTTGGTAAAAAGCAAAAGGAAAACTTCAAGTTGTCTAATGTATGAGATAATTCCGTAAAGAGCGTGCAACTTCAAAATATGCTTGCTTATTTATTATAACCATTTTCATGACAAATATAATAAAACACAGGTAAGGTTCCCCCTCCATTTTTTAAAAAAAAAACCAAATGAAAGTACTAGAGTTAAAAAAAAAAAAGTATCAAGGTAATAACATTTCATGACTGGGAGGCTGCAATGAAGTAAAGCCAATACTTTCTGCTTGCAGAACTACAACGTGTTACTGTCCTTTAGGAAAACAACATGGCAAAAAAAAAAAAAAAGCAGTATGCATAAAAAGTCGGCAGTGTTTTGGTTCACTCAAAAGACTGTATTACAAGAAAATAATTAGCCTAAAAAATTCATGGAATAGAAGTAAAAAGTATATACATGAAAATACTAAACATTATCTAGAGTAGCAAAGAAAACCAAGAAAGCATGGTTTAGAGAATCAGAGTCAACTCCAAAGACATGGAGCTCCAGTGACCCACGTGCCACATGAGTCAGTTAACCATCTGAGGTACCAAGTGCACATTAAAATCATTTTATGATAACACCAAGTAGGGTTTAATAAACCAGTTTGGAAAGCTAGAATAGAGACGTGGAAGTCTGGTTATGAGATGCAGAATAAATAATAAATAAAGACCATGTATAGAGACAAAAAATCATCAAACACCCTTAATGCCATGGATTCACAACAGAAGACACAAAAGGAGCTTAAGTAAATGAAGTAGAAAGTAAAATGCAAGGTATTTTTACCTTTTCATTCTCCTTTTTTTTAGGAAGCCTGCTATATTTTGCCATTGAGAGGTCATGCTCTAAAAATAAAGTTACATTTTAGCACCCAGACAGGTTGAAAGGCAAGAACATTCATTTAGCTTCTCCTCCCAACCCCAAACACGTTGTTGTCGTTGTTGCTGGTTGTCATTTAGTCGATTCTGACTCATGGTGACCCCATGTCCCTGGGTGGTGGAAATTGTTAAGTGCTGGACTAACTGAAAGGTCAGCGGTTCAAACCCACCTAGAGGCACCTTGGAAGACAGGCCTGGTGATCTACTTCCAAAAGGTCACAGCCTTGAAAACCCTATGGAGCAGTTCTACTCTGCACATATGGGGTCATCATGAGTCACCCCCCACTAAACCCACACACACATTAAACCCATAGTGTATCAAGAATAAAGAAGAAGCCTACCATTGCTGGCAAGTCCAAAAAGATCCTTTAAAGTGCTTACTTCTGAAAAGAGAAAAGGAAACATATTAGATCAAAAACAAATAAAACATGCCAACCCAGAGCTCTGTGCTTTCCAAAGAAAATAAAAGGATATGTATGGAGGAGGAAAGGCCTGCCAACACGTCCCCCCTGAGATCCTCTGCTCTCCTGGGGCCCGGGCCTAGTGCCTGGGAATCCTGGTCTCACTGGAATTGCACCCCAACTCACTGACCATGGAGCCTTTTCTCTCTGATACTGCTTGGGATTTGTGAAAAAGCAGGCACTCCAGAGTGAGGGCTAGACTGTCTGGTGGCCAGGCACTTTTCATGGAGACCAAAGAATAGACTTAAGTTCTGACTCTTCAGCCCCAAAGTAGAGTATCTTAATACACCTTTCCTCAGAATGCCCTGATCACACCCAGTTTCTAGAAATTTCCTGTCCCTGCCGTTTTAACATCTGACTTATTAAAGTTATTACTGACAAGAAATATGGGGTCTCATTTTAATGAAAACATCTGGAGCAATCTAGCGTACTATACTTGCACCAAGTCAACAGCAGTAACTATTACCCAATATGGGTGCTACACCCAAAATACACAAAGATAGTTAACGAACTCCAAGACGAAGAAAAGTTTTTTAAAAGGAAATGTAAGCAATGACTGTCCAAGATCAAAAACTTAAAAGACACGGACACTTAAGAGAAAACATTACTTTCTGTAATTCTAAAACAATCCACTTTTATTTTGTCAAACAAAACAAAGTGTTTCACATCATCTATGTTGTTTTTCCATTTGCCTCATTAACTGACACCAGTTTTTACATTTCTCTTTACATTTTTCTTACTCTCCCTGACATTAGGCTGACATTTCTCCTTTTGCATTTTTTCTCTCTCTCATCTTTTTCTTCCTGTTGGAGCAGAGTTTTAGGTTTTTCTCCCTATCAATTTTCCACAGCTTCCTTATTATCTCCTGGGTTCTCTTCACTCAGCCTGGGGAACTTGCACTACTGGGTAAATGATGAAAAAGGCAGGCAAGTGTAAGATAAAACATCCCTGCCTAAGCACAGGGGATGCCAGCTTCTAATTTGGTTCTGAGGTTGACTTCGGTATGATTTAGCTCAAACACTTCAAATTTACATCTTGGTGTCATCGGAAAAGGATAATTCGATTAACTTTCTCACAGATATTAAGAAGTTTCTCTTTTTGCTATTAATAAACAGTTTTACTCCTCCTTAAAAAAACAATCATCATCCGGAGCAAACAGTACTAATAGCTGAGTCATACTGGACTGAGGAAGGCCACCATCATTAACACAGTTGGGGCACACTCAATCCTACATTCGACTCGCACAGGCAAACCTGAAAGACACAAATCTGACAACAAAGGTCTTAGGGGATTATTTTATTTCTAACAGACTTGGGATTTGTTTTAAAAGTGAGATCCTCACACATTTCTAATGATTTTGCTTGGAGAAGATATCTTTGAACCACATTTCTAACAATTTCATTTAAAGAAAGTATTATTTAAAAATGCACCCACTGAGGCTTTCAGTTAGTATTGCCTACCCAGCCCGACCACGTTGGGCAGGTTTGCCTTTGTATGTAATCATCCATTAGCAGCACTTAAAAGTCCTGCTGAATTAAGGTTCTCTTTACACAGCTGATTGATCTAGTATTTAGTCTTTATTTATTAAGTTTCAGCGTTGTCAACACTGCCCTTGGGTAAAGTTTATACATTCTATCACTGCCCCCTAGAGCCTCTGGTGACATGATCACAGGGAATCTCAAAGTGAGGAAATGTATCTTCATCTTTAAGATTTGCCCTTAGACTTATTGTATCTTTTCCACCTTCGAAAGAAAATTTAAGGTGACATTTTTAAAGAGAAAGTACTATACTGAACAGCTCTATTAGTATTCAGGTTTAGACTTTGCTTTTTTTTTTTTTGATCTACAATTCTTTATATCAGTGTTCTTCTGGAAAATATAATTCTTCAATTTTCTAGCAATTAATATTCTCATTAAAATGAGAAAGAACAAAAGGACTAGGGAATTTAGATTCCCTTTTCTAACGTTCCAGTAAGAATATTCGTTTTTTTATATTCATTTTTTTACTACCTCAATTTCTAAGATATATGCAATTATTTTAAAGTTTTAAGAACCTAAGTTAGTCCAAAAGACCAACTAAGCTCTTTGAACTAGTCACAGATACCCTCACTCACTAAATGTCAGCTTCACGAGAACAGGGATCCTGTCTGCCTCATTCTCAGCTGCATCCCCAGAGCCCGGCACAGATAAAAGGATGGCCCCTATCCTGCCCTCTCCTCTCCAAGCCTCCCATTTGACATTCCAAACCACTCGGGGTTTCCAAAGTACACTGTACCTTCACACACGTTCCCTAACCTGTAATATAAGCCTTACCATCTTTGTCAACTTGGTAAGCATGTATTCACGTCCCAGACCCCAGCTCAGAGACCACCTTCTCCATGAAGCCTTCCCCGGCACTCTAACCCTCAAAGGGTGATCATGCCTTTCTGTGTGAGATTTCTATTCCTGTATATCTTGTCTTGCTACCCTCATCACACAATATTACAATTACTTGTTTCTGTGTCTGTCTTCTTATTAGCCTGTGATCTCCTTGAGGTGAAGCAGGAACACAGTGGGGATTCAATAAAAGTTTGCTGAACTGAACTACTCAAAGAAAAGGCATTTCACAATAATTCGCAGGTTTAAAATCAATGCAGTAACAATTATTCTTATATGAACTAAACAATATTTTGGAGGTAACTGGCACTTAGCTCACTTTACCTGTGAGATCTTTTTCTCGAAACTGTATAATGTGTAGAACCATTGTGTCTGCCAACTGTTTAGCCAGCTCTGTATGGAGAACATTAAGCTGAAAGAAAGAGAAACCTATTGAAGAAAATTACATACATTATTGCTGACACCATCTTATTTCACCAAGGATCACACTGAACACTTTTGTGTGGTTAAAAGCTCAGTCACATTTCCTTAGCAAATAAATACACTTCATAAAGCAGTAAACGATATAGGTCTAGAGGTATTAAAAACTAAATACAAGGTTCTAATTGACTGGGTATCAGACAAGCCCATGTTTACTCGGTTTAGTGTGCAAACTCTGGCTCTGTGTTCTCAATCTCAGTCACATCCAGCCTGGAGAATCAGAATGCTTTTACGCACTTACTGCCAGTGCTCAATACAGGTGACCACTTCACCAGGGCCACTGTGAGCTTTCAGGCTCTCAGAGAGGGCGGAAGTCACACTTAAAAGACAGGCCTGCTGGGAACCTACAAACCCTAAGACCACAGCCGGCTGTGGGCTTGTGTGTAACTCTGGAGAAAGAACACTCCCGGCTGAAACAACTCAGCCAGATTTCAGGCCTCTCTGCTCTTTAGAAAAGGACCTTTCGCAAAACAAGGTGACTATATGCAATTTGATCCTCCTCATGGATAATTTTAACAGCTGTTGATTCTTTATTCCCTTCTAAAAAGGCTTACTGAAGCCTGTCTTTATACGTAGTCTATGAGGAATAAAAATTATTATCACTACCAACACTACCATTTCTGAGCACTTTCTGTGTGCCAGCTCTGTATCATTTAGTTCTCACCCACTCTGTGAGTTAGGTATTATTATCTGCAATTTATAGATGCGATACCCATTATTTCATTTAAATATTTTTAGCAGTCCAATTAAGTGAGCTTTCCTATGACTGCCATTTACAGATAAACAAATCAAAATTCAGGCAGATTAAGCGGCTTTCTAATGGTATGCACTTCAGGAGTGACAAGCTGCCCAGCTACTCATTTTTTTCCTAAGCATCAAGGGGTTTGTGTCATTAACTTTTTGCGTTGGGGCTTGTAAGATGTATGGGACAATCACTTTTAAGCACAGCACTTTCACTGAAGAGTGGAAAGAGCGTGGTCCACCTCTCAAAGCTTCAGGATCATAATTTGCAAAATGGAGGTAACACCATCTTCCTTGTATGGCTACCGTGAAGACAAAATAGTAAAGTCTACAGAAAACTCTCGGAATAGAGTGCCTGACATATACTTGGCGTTCAATAAATGCAATCTGTAATGACAATGACTTCCTGTCTCAGATGCATTATAAGGAAGTGATCCAGAAACCTTACTTCTGAAGAAATCACGAAGGTTACAAATCTCTGTATGTCTTATAACATGGAAGATCTGACTCCCAGGTATTCTATAAATATAACCTACAGCCACACAAGTCTCTACTTTTAGTTGTTGTTGTTTTTAAATTTCTTTTATTTTTTCCCATACAAAAATTTATACATACATTGTTATGTGACTCTAATTACTCTCCCCATACTGTGACAGCCCACTCCTCCTTTCCACACCTGATTCCCCATATCCATTCAACCAGCTCCTAACCCTCTCTGCCTTCCCATCTCATCTCCGGACAGAAACTGTCAGTTTAGTCTCTTGTATCTACTTGAGCTAAGAGGCACACTCCTCCCAAGTATCACTTTATGTGCCACAGTCCAATCCAATCCCTGTCTGAAGAGTTGGCCTCGGAAACTGTTTTAGTTCCGGGCTGACAAAGAATCCAGGGGCCATGCTTTCCGGAGTTCCTCCAGTCTCCGTCAAACCATTATGTCTGGTCTTCTTACTAGAATTTGAGTTCTGCACCCCACCTTTCTCCTACTCCAACTGGGACTCTCTGTTGTGTTCCCTGTTAGGGCAGTCATTGGTGGTAGCCAGGCACCATCTAGTTCTTCTGGTCTCAGGCTGATGAAGTCTCTGGTTTATGTGGCCCTTTCTGTCTCTT